AGTGGAACAGACGGACACACATACACACATACAGACAAACTAACTGCAAAGACTCCCTTTTTGCCAAAGCCAAATATACTGTGCATTGAAGAATGGGTGGGGAAGAAAGTTCTGCCTTGTAGCCAAACATTACAGAACCATAGGTAACTGATTGTACCTTTATTGTAGAAAGGTGCTAGCCACATCACTGCAATGTACTGCATTTGCATACTACATGTAATTGCTGAATGCGTAATATGCAATACAGTCAACCAGTCTGTGCCTAAAATCTCGACTACGTTTACTGTGGTGACATGAGGCTTGTACTGCTTGTACCTTCATTCCTCCCCTCAACACTTGCACAAAAATCAGTGACCCCCCTCCCAAAAAAAACAAAAAAAACACCGACCTACCCCCTCCTGTACTTCTGTCCAGTCCCTAACAAACTCAAACACTGCAGTGGCCATCCCGCGGCATAATCCAAGGCACTCTAGACAAACGAATTACGCTAGCCTGGGATCCAGCCCTTCAGAGCGTTATTCCCAATGCACTTAAGGATGGTCTGGTGTATCGCAACTTATTTGTACATACGTAGTCGGCTCAGAATTCGGTGTCATCACTGATTAACTGTCTCCGTGACTTCAGTACATTATCAATGAAACTCACATGTACTGACTGATTCGTAAGTAAGGCCCGCGCCCAGCCCCCAGGCCGATGCACTAGTTTCATGAATGCAGAATGAATGAACATAGATCGAGTGTTCCAAAGCGCTTATCCAAGCTCGCTGGCGAAACTTGCAGCAAGCGCGAATAATCGCTACAAAATCCTAGTTTTCTCTTCAATAAGATAGTCAACTTATTAAAAGCAAGCATGACAAACTATTTAAGTCATGTGCAGCCTATCATGCCTCTTGAAAAGTTCGGGAGGAAGGGACACGGGTGAAGGTAGAATTACGAATGTGTCAGCAGGGAGACACATGAATATATCTATCTATAAGACTAAGTTATCATTGTAGTATAATTTATTTTCTTTCATGATTTCACTCTATTGTCAATGTCAAAGTCGTAAAACAATATCAATAATGTGTTACAAACGTTTTCATTCAGCAACGCACACATGTTGATGTTTGCTTGCATCTCGTATAAATTCTACATAGAGTGCACATTTAATCAAGTGTTATACTCAATGTAGAAATGTCTTCACTTAAAATTTATAATATTCATTAGGTTAATATAGTAGTTCCAAGTTTTCGGAAATAGTTTAGTAAAAAAAATACGTAATATAATAACATTTTGCTTCAAATGATAAGAATGGTTTATGTTCAAGAACAGTAGACACAAGCAAGTGATACATAACAATACATTACTAGAAACGAGAAGATATGACATGTGTAGCACTCACACACAATCAAATGAGTTTACTTTAATATGCTTATTTATTAACTTGTTTTTATTATTTTCAGACAGACGTGAATGAACGCAGTAGAAAAGATGACACCAGAGAGCACCATCTGAGCAAACGTGACGTCACATGTGATCTCAGCTGGTTGGCTGAGCACTGTAAGTCATATAATTATATTAACATGAAGTCAGCACACTTTTTTGACAGTCCAAACAAAATTTCTGACTACGAGAAATTCATTGGTATAATGTTAGTGCAGAAGTGAATACAGTATGGTGAAAGTCGTACTAACATTACGTTTTTACTAAGTGAAATCATGTTTACTAAAAGTTATTTTTCTTACATGTATTGTTGAACGTGTAATTGGTAATTATGATAATTGTATTGATGTCCATGTGAAATCTTTCATGAATTATTCTTAATATATTTTCGAATTTTCTTGACAGAATCAGTTGTTTTCAAAAAATTTTACAAAAGAACGAAAAGATTTTAGATTGTCAAATACGGAAAGTCTCTGTCGTAGTGTTGTAAATATGTGACACTTCTTTTATATGTGGATGTCACGGTCGTATTCAACATAACTGAACATAATTAAATTTGTTGTTGTGTTTCTTTCTAGCTTCAATTTTGCGAGGACCCCCTGGACCACAAGGTCCCCCTGGAAACAATGGAATTCCTGGAATTCGTAAGTTATGTTTATTGTAATAGTTCCTGAGTTATCATCGTACAATTCCATTTTCATAAACAAAATTGTGAAAGACAATCAAATATATTTTGCTGGCTCAAGGTGTACATGAATCTGCATTATTAATATCACATATATAAATGTAAGTAGAGATTTAAATATATTACATTTTTTGGAATAGCTGGAACACCAGGTATTGGGTGTCCCAATTCAAGCAATGACAACGATATCGATGATAGGCCAGCAAGTGATGATGGTACATCAACCAACGTAAATGGAACAGCTGGATCTGTGTATGTGAGATGGGGAAGATCCACGTGTGAAGATACTGCTGAATTAGTTTATGAAGGTATGTATAATAGAAGTTTTACAGTTTAATAATGTTCAAGGCACGTATAGATACGTTTGTATGATTTTGCATGAATTCGAAAACAACCCTTATTCAAATTTGTCTGTAATCGAATGTCAGATATTTGCTACAAACGTCGTGTTCTATGTATTCTCAATAATAAGATTTAACCATAATTATTATATCCAAAATGAGTGAATAAATGTTTTACAATATGAAGTTCATTCTGCCCACTAGGTGTGATAGGAGGAGCATATTTCTCTCATATAGGTAGTGGTTCTAACTACCAATGTCTGCCATTGAATCCTATATATGACGACGTAGTAAGTGGTACAGACAAGTGGAGAGCTTTGATGTATGGTACAGAGTATCAGGTGAACTCGTTCAGCCCTTTGTCAGCTGTGTTCAATCATGATGCAGTGTGTGCAGTGTGCAGAGTCCGTTCTCGTGGTACCGTCTTAATGGTTCCTGCTCGTAATGAATGCCCCTCAACTGAGTGGACCAGAGAGTATTATGGCTATTTGATGTCCTCATACTATGACCATGCTTCAAACAAGGATTTTATCTGTGTAGACCGTAATCCTGAAGGAAGAGATGGTAGTAGTGCAAACGCAGATGGAGCGTCGTTGTATCCTGTAGAGGGTCGATGTGGATCACTTCCATGTGGTCCATATGTCAATGGCAATGAATTGACATGTGCCGTGTGTACCATATGATATCAATGAGTGTATTGGTCACGTGTGTAGTTGTTGCTAATATTATTCTATGCAGCTAATAGAAGATTTATACATTTACATTTATTGTATTCAGAAACTGACAGATTGCCCCATATAAGATTGTGTTTTCTGTGCTGTTCACCTTATTATGTAGTCGTCACAAATTCATCATAATGAAAACGAATTTACAGAATAAATCGGTATGTTACAGTTTCCATTTCTAAAAAAAAAACCATGATATTTGTATTTTTGTAACACCTCTTTGCAATATGTGGTTTATAGACATGTTTTCACTGCTTGTGATTGTTTACAGATCTTTACGGATTATTTCATTACCAATTATATATGTTAATTTTTAGCGTAACGCCATAATCTAACACATTTGAAATGATATCAAATAGATAATATAATTTGTTCTCGTTTCCTTATGATCAATAAAATCAGTATCATCTGACGTTATCAAATAATCACTAAATATTGTGAAACCATTTATTTTCACTGGCGTTTAAATCCACTGTGTTGATATTTTGAATTTTATTAAATGGGTGTCAACTTCACGAATTCACCAGTGAAACAATGCATTCTATTGTCATTTCATATGTCCATGTGAATTTAACTTAGAGGATTTTTATCAGCGATATTTCGACAAGGTGGATAATTAATTAATCATTGATGAGGTCGTTAATCACATGGACGCTTTGAAAAAGTACTTGGCCATGTTCAATGGTGATAGTGTGCATGACACATGATTGCTACGGCATATATCCAAATTCCATGTTCGTAGCAATGAGCTTAAGGTATAGATGCAGGGTCGTGGGCACTTGGCACTTATCCAAACAGTCTTGGCTATAGACTGTTAAAATTTTGTAGAATTGTGAAAAGTGGAAAATACTCAAAAAACGATTTTAAAAAATAGATAACAGGTGCAAACATTCTCTCTTTTGAATGCTTAGCAAGATTTAAGAAGGCTGTACATAAATAATCAAAAAGAAACATGGTGAAAAAAAGAAATGACAGGATCTCCTTGTTATGCACTATATTTAACTTTTAACAAAACGATAATACATTTAAATTTGGAACTGTTACAGCCATTTTAATTATGAGCATTAACAAACTCCTTAGTGAGTGAATTGTTATGCAAATTAGCAATTATCTCAGCTTCTTTTTAGTGCACATCCCAGAACTTTAAAAAAATAGCTCCTAGACGCTTTGACCTTTTTTTTAAATTTTCACAAATGAGTGACAATGTGTTTATCTTCAAAACGCCGTCGAGCATTGTTTTAGGTTGAACAGTGTTACAATAATCGTACAGACAACTAGCCTGGGTGTTAAAACATTGAAGATGTCCAAAAATGTGAAGAGTTTATTTAGTTTTCAACTTATGAACTTGGAATCTGTGCAATGCTGAATCGCCCACTTTATTATAGTAAAAAAGACCAATAATACGTCATATATTACATATCATATTTCTTATTTTCAATAGCATTCGATAAATAGCTCATTTTAACAAAAATAAATTCTTTCCGCTTGTTTTTACCTACAGTGGATTACACATATACTGACATGCATAAGAAAATTCAGTGATATCAGCAAAAACTAAAACCCACTCATAGACAAAAAGATTCGCGCCTACAGCATCAACTGCAAGTTCACAACAACTACAGCATCTATCGACTGAGCAATTGGATTTCCGATGTAGTTTCCTGGGAAAAAAACAGTTACTGTGGCCTACAGCGGCAATCGTCAATATTTAACAAATTAATACTAACATGTAATATTTAACATGCTATATTAATCTGACATGTGTCAGTTGTTTATCGTACTCATTAAGACACATACTCTATTAATCTGACATGTGTCAGTTGCTCATCATACTCATTACGACACATGCTCTATTAATCTGACATGTGTCAGTTGTTCATCGTACTCATTACGACACATACTCTATTAATCTGACATGTGTCAGTTGTTCATCATACTCATTTGCGACACATGCTCTATTAATCTGACATGTGTCAGTTGCTCATCATACTCATTGCGACACATGCTCTATTAATCTGACATGTGTCAGTTGTTCATCGTACTCATTACGACACATGCTCTATTAATCTGACATGTATCAGTTGTTCATCGTACTCATTACAACACATGCTCTATTAATCTGACATGTGTCAGTTGTTCATAATGTTTTTTCCCAGTATCAAATACAACATTTTTAGAACTATTTCTAAAGGAGTTTATGTTTAATTGTTATTTCATTAAAAATAAATCTGATTCGCCAGAACACCCTAATAATTTGGGACAACTCAACGTCTAACTACTTATGATTTATAATTATCATGTGTGTTTGCAAACAAATATTTCGGTGACCATACTCTTGATCGTGATAAAGTGAGCATAGTTTTTAATATTATCTAACTACATCAAGTTGGCGTCATCACTCAATCCCAGCAAGAGGATGTAACGTTCAATGATTGATATATTGATATGAATCGTATTACAAGGAGTATGATTAGAAATAACAGTGACAGACTCAAACATGTACAGAGACAAGTCATGTCTTGTTCTGGTCTTCAGCCCCCAATTTGTACTTTGCAATATAGTGATATAATGATAAAAGAAAGATAATGTGCTTTTTCTAGCGAAAGGGTGGTGGTCATTGTGCGCGATTTTATATACATAGCCTTATATATTAATCGAGCACCACCGACCACAATTTGTCATGTTTGACTTTTTCCATGAAAGCTTCCTTGACCATTATGCAGCACTAACCGTTCCTACTATTATATTAGAAGAAAAAAACGCCCCATTAAAATCAATTTAAACTGATTGTAAAACAGACATGCAAATGTCCTGAAACAACATGCACACACATCATACATATACCGCTGTTCATGATTTTGAATACAAAATTAACTGCAAGAAAAAGCACACTTTAACGTTATGAACAAATCCAGTACATGGCATTTGGATAATCCCTAATTATAATACATTGCGCTGTCTATTATTAAAACGCCTGGTTTTATGGCGATAACAGGGCAGTGTTTGGGGTCAATGCACGAACAAAAATAACTACAAACCAGCCTTTTTCACAATTGTCCCAACTCACTGTTATTTCTCAGTGACCTTTTCACCGTGACTGTATTCACGTTTTCCTGTAAGTATTTTTCTCGTGTTTTTTGTCATCACTGCTCACCGTTTACTCCAGTAATAAAGCAATGCTCAGTGCAGTTAGGGTCAACTAACCAGCGCATTTGACCTTTAGAAACAGCTGACTGAACCACTTTCATCTAATGTACGCCTATTGATATCAACTACAACTAAGGGTATGTTGTTTTTACCGTACACATATCTTTCATTGGTTTGACTAGATTTCCTGTACATAAGTGACCGATTATATAAGAACGGATTATCACTAGTTGCCGTTTTGTGTTAAAATGAAATTGTATTATTCGAACCTATATCTAGGGTATTCCCAATAAAGAAGGCGGATATTTCATCAGGAACATCACCAAGGCTCATAAATTCACAATTGAATTGCCATTGAACCCTCAGACTATCGATCCCGGGCTATCGACATGAAACTTGACATGGCATATTCTTAGTGCGGGAATCGCATGTCGTTCATTGTTGTACTGCAGTTAATATAACTGGGTGCGGTAGTTCTAAGCGTGGCGTAGCAGAACGTTCCTATATTCCCTAACAATTTATAAGGTGTGTCATGGGTGCTTACGATGTCAAAAAA